AGAGAAACTATGGATGTGTATTAAGTTTTGGTATTCATTTTGTTTGTTTGTTTGTTTGTTTGTTTATTTTATCGTTTCCGTGTAATTTGTACAGGGTTTTTTGTGTCATTGTGGGAGGGGGGGGGAGGGATATTTTATGGGGGAGAGGGAGGGGGACTGGAATGTACAAAGAATGTAATATTTTAGTCTCGTATCGTGAACATTTCGCTGAAAAGCTTCAAAACATTGATTCATAAATATGAAAATCGAAACAATATACACACATACATTTTCTTCACAACATTACAAATACACTTCAAATTCAGAGAAGCCAAATGCCCGAATAGCTATCCACCAATAAAACTTAAACTGTTATCAGCAACAACAGTATTAACGGAAAGTCTTTACAGCAACAGAGTATAGATCATAATTGAAACGTCGCTGACCACTGGATATTTTACACTGCGGTCTAGGGAATCAAGCAAGGTGGTTCGTCTCTTCCTGCATCTCTCCTCCAACACGCCGCACGCTTGCTTCTTTTAGCTTTTCATCGCTGCTGACTTTCATCACATGCTCGACCATCGTCATAGACAGGTGTCTGGGCGACTGGTGGGAGTCAGCACCACCTCCTCTTGCCTGTTCCATCTACCAAAGTCCCAATTCTTTGACCTTTCACCCTCCGCATGCAGGATTGAAGCGATGATGTTGACAGCCCATAAGTCGCAGGAAGTCATCAATGTGACCTGATGAGGGGAAGAAAGAAATAAAAAGGCATAAGTTTTGACAAAACCTTTAAATTAAACTGGTGTAAAGAGCTAATGAGGAACGCCGTAAACAAGTAGGATATATTATGTTTGGTTTCAGCACAAAGAAACCCTGTACGGAGTACTGATAAGGAAAAAAGAAAAGAACAAAAGTTTCCAGTTTCATAAAGACATTGACCTACAGTTAAGGAAGTACATTACATTAAATGGTATCCAGAAGACCAAACTGAGACAACGTTGTTTTCTTTAGGCGTCTAAGTTTGCTCCATTACTTTCAGACTAATATTTTTTAGCATCAGGGGAGGGGGGGGGGGGGGGGGTTGTTTTGTTTGTTTCTTTTTGTTGTTTCTTTTGGGGGGAGGGGGCGAGGGCGGGTATTTCCCTTTGAATTCGATCTACCCATCCTTTACCTCCTCATTGTATTATGGGATCCTTTTAATCCTTCTCTCCCCCCCCCCCCCCCCTTAGTTGGTACCATGCTAGACTACTGAGCAAATTACCCTGGTGCGAATTCCCAACAGGGTGTACTGCACTGAACTTTGGTTCTTTTTGCGAGTTTTTTTTTAGGCACTCCACCCGTCTAGCTTGGCACTATCGGAGATGAAAGTCAATTAGCAGGTGCTACCTCTTGAATAACCTTACAATGTTGAAAGGGGCATTAAATGTGTACAATGACTTGTGAAATATATATGATTTTATTGCAACCGCGTCTATTTTGAATGACTTCTATTTCTATTATATTATTATTTTTTCAGGAAAAAAGTACCAAATTTGGTAAATACTGCCAAAAAAGGCTATAACGAGAAGTATTAAAAAACGGCCAAAAGTAATTACCTTTATAGGATGTCAGGTTGACGGTTGAAGATTGCCTGATTGCACATTTCTTGCAGGAGAAACAGCTAGGCGCCCAGCGATGGGGTATCCAGCGATGGGGTGCTGTCAACAACGAAGGTGACTTCATGATAACTGGTGCCATCGTTCACCATAAAACTTTGAAGCACCTTGGTTGAGATCGCTGGGCCACTCTCTGTACTGTTTAATACTGTGCAATGATCTGACACTGAGAATGCGGAGGTGGTCTGGTCAGAAAAGGAAACCTCTTGGTTATAAAGAGGGGAGTGTACGTTCCTTTGTATGCATCGTTGCTTTTTGGTCTAGTCTAGTGCCTGTTGTGAGAATGGCACGAGAAAGGTTGCAGAAGCTGTTTAAGCCAAAGTTTGTCGTACTAGATATAGGCAAGATTTTGCAAGATCAGATTTCTGGGCACTTCCTTTGTGTTGGCGTGGTAGGAATGATCACGACCAAAAAAGCGCTGGAAAGATAAGCATGAACAGGCGATCCTTTCTGGAAGCTGGAGGTAAGTCTAAAGAGTGTATTCACTTCCTTTCTATAGTTCTCACTGATATTCAGTAGTCTTCTTTGAGTGTATTCACATCCTTTCAATAGTTCTGTCACACAAAATAAAGCAAATGTCTGTTGTTTTCGGATATGTCTTGTCATCAGGGGTGGACTTTAGATATGGCACAAAGGTCGTCTGAAGGCTGAGAAAAAGTGCACATGAGTACACGTTTTAGCCATCAGTTGTTGTAAAAAGCAACATGATTTGATGAAACTCAAAATCACATCAGAACACACCGATGTTGCGTTCGTTTACCCTTTTAATTAATTTAGAAACGACTGAAGTTAATTTGTATAGTGTCTTCAAATTGAAGCCAGTTTTGTTCGAAGATAAACAACCGAAACTGGATAGTTTCTTTTATCCGTTAATCAAAACAATCAAGAAACATTTCGGGAGGGGGGGGGGGAGAGGCGTGTTGTGTTACCCACACTATCTCATGCACAAATCCAAGGAATGTGAGGCTTATTATTCGTCATCCGATGTTTAGCATTTCATGTCTCTTAGATTTTCAGTTGCAAAGTCTTGATCTGGTTTTCCTCGAAGGATAAAAAAAATGGAATGTCACGTGACTGTCTGTCGTGTGAATGTGGTGTAGAATGACGAATCCTCCATTCATTGTCAGACCGAATGTCTGTTGTTGTGAGCGAACCTCAAGATCTTCTTCTTCATCGTGGGGGATGAATCGTCGAAACTCTTTCTTCTGAACACACTGCCAAGTTTGCGTGACACGTTCTCAAATAGGCTCCGCCTCCTCTTGACGCTCCGCCCCCTGTGACGTAGTGCGCTGACGGTGTCGGCGATGAGGGAGTGTAGGCTGTTGACGATTAGCACGTGACATTCAGCGGCGGAGACCTCTGTGTGCTGACACGAGTTCTCTTCTGCAACCTGCTCCACCTCGCTCGGGAACACCTGGAGGAAGCAACAAATCGTGGGTTAAGAAATGTCACAGTGAAACAGTGTATTGAATCTGTTCGTTCTTCTGTTTCTGTGTCTTCTCGTTTGATTATTCGTTTGTTCGTTTGTTTGTTTGTTTTTGTTTTGTTTTGTTTTATGGTTTGTTTGGTTGTTTTATCAAACAGAGCCAGAGAAGTCTGCGACCCAAATTCTCTAAATTGTGTCGATAGGGTTACAAAATATTAATTAATTATACATTTACAATTACTCAAGTTTGGAACATGATTCACTGTCTCCAAATTCAGACTACAGGGGCGTGCAGAAGTCTTGCTTATTTCCAACAGTTTCCTAGCTCAGTTGAGCAAAACTTTCAAGACAAATTTCGATGGGTTTTGTTGTTGCTGTTGTTGTTGTTGTTGTTGTTGTTGTTGTTGTTGTCTTTGTTGTTTTTGTTGTTGTTGCTGTTGCTGTTGGTGCTGCTGCTGTTTGTTTGTTCGTTTGCTCGTTTCTTGTTGTTGTTCTTTTTTGGGGGAGGTATGTTTTGTTTTTTTAGGTCTTTATCTCACAACCATGTGCAACTCACCTTCCGAGCATGATCAAGGTCCAGCTTGTTGCCCATCAGCAGCACCGGTGCACATGCCTGGCTCTGTGACCGGATGTTGTCGAGTTGTCTGCGGGCCTCAGCGAAGCTGTCGGTGTCTGTGACGCTGTACACAACCACGAAGGCGTCTGCGTCATACACGTCATGGCAGGAAGCCTGGCAGTCGTCCTGGAAAGGCGGGAAAATAGTCTATGTTTGAATAAAGACAAACAGGTTGCTACAATAATGCCGTCGTTCTTTTAAAATACAGTATATTTTGTCGTTTTTAAATCTACCCCCCCCCCCCCCCCGGCCGTGTCTGGGCCAACCCGGGCTGAAAGGGATATGCAATGCAACACCTCGGCAGAAAGACTAAGATATATCCTATAAAATTATATTTTCTCCACACGTGAATCTAAATTACATCCTCTGTATACGGCGGCGAAGAGCCCTGACGACTACACCACAGACGCCAGCCAAACAAACAAACAACAAACGTAAAGCAACCCAAAACACAAACCCAAAAACCCCACAAGACTACAAGGTGTATCGCAAATCATCAATGAAGCAGACGCGCTACGAGGAGCTGGAAAACAATTATGAAACGGACATCCATTTTAAGTCATGGACACTACTTACGCATGCGTAGAAGAAGGGGGAAACCTGCCCGTGTTTTATGCTAATGAGCTTATGTGCTTCTCTGAAGATGTACATATCTGTGAAGGCAGTTGTGAAGTGTTTACGGCGATTTACGGCTATTTTGGTCCTGTAAGTGACCGCGGACCACCGCTGTGTAGGATAGACTAGACACTGTTCCGGATATGTAGAGACGCTAATGAGCAATCTAAATAACGCTGTAATGAGCGTGAAACTCCGGTCAAATTCAACACGACAAGAACATGGTGTGGGGACAGCGTTATCGTCACAAACAAAAAACAGCAACAATATGGTTCACATGACGTGGTACTTCAGGAAGCAACGCATAAATACACTCTTTTTTTACCGCCATCCATTTCCCGCCTCCTCCTCCTCTTCCACACATACACACACACATACACACACGCACACACACACTCACACACACACGTGCGCGCGCGCGCGCGAGAGAGAGAGAGAGAGAGAGAGAGAGACACACACACACACGCTGCGTATAGAAGCACAAATAATTTAATATATGCATTCATGTGCGCCCGTGTTCACAAAAGGGGAGAAAGAGAAAAAAGATAAAGAGAGTGGGGGGGGGGAGGGGGGGCGGAAGAAAGTGAGAGATAGAGAAATAGACAGAGAGTTTGAGAGGCAGATAGGGAGACAGAGAGAGACACATAAAGAGAGAGAGAGAGAGGGAGAGAGAGAGGGAGATAGTGAGAGACAGACAGACAGACAGACAGACAGACAGACAGACAGACAGACAGACAGACAGACAGACAGACAGACAGACAGACAGACAGACAGACAGACAGACAGACAGAGATAGAGAAGGAGAGACAGAGAGAGAGAAGATACACATAGCGTCCATTGTCCAAGATTTGGACAGCGTCCTAGTGCCCACTGCCCATTCCCCAGACACAATATTGGTGTTCGTGGACTCTCGTTTGTCCAGCGACCAGGCAGAGCCAACATGCGCCTACGTAAGCCAACAACCTGTCACTTTATTTAGTGAGCTTAGAGTAGCCAGGGTCCATTGGCCTCTTCTCTGCACTACACAGAGCAACCCTCCTCCCTTCACTGCCCCGCGGTCTCACTTAAAGTTTAAAATGTTTTAATTCTAAAGAAGTATCAAAATAGTCATTTCTGCATGCACAGATCTCTGAGCAACCGTTATCTAACTAAAGTGAGTATGAAATAGCAAAAAGATTAAAATGAGACAATGTTTTCATATGTCACAAAAAAGTGTTACTTTCCGACTAATATTTACCACCACTTCCCCCCCCCCCCCCCCGAAAAAAAATGAAACCCAAAAAATCCCGCCTTTTATGATAAATTCCGTGGCTCCATATTAGGCCCATTGAATATGTTTTAGAGCAATAAAAAAGAAAAAAAAAACTCGTGTTTTGACCTCGTTGCAGTCATTATTATTAATATCATGAACCCAGATCCGAGAGCGCAAAGATAAAAAAACAAAATAGTTTGTGCAGTGCAGGTGTTCTGTTTTATTAAGGCCTTCCACGGGCAGGAAACCAGTTACATCAGGAAAGTATTGTTCCCGCCGCTCAAAATGCTTATCTTGATGCACAGTCATGCTTAAGTTATGGGCGCCGTGCATGCGCGGCCGTGTTAGATCACCAGAGAATCTCCATGCAGAGGGTCGTTTATGTGCGACATGAGTTGTGGGACACAGCGACGCGTAAAACACACCTTTTTTTTTTTTCTTTCTTTTCATTTTGTTCCTTTTTTTCTTCCCCCCCCCCCCCCCCCTTTTTAAATTTTTTTTTAGCCCTCTCTCTCTCTCTCTCTCTCTCTCTCTCTCTCTCTCTCTCTCTCTCTCTCTCTCTCTCTCTCTCTCTCTCTCTCTCTCTCTCTCTCTCTCTCTCTCTCTCTCTCTCTCTCTTAAATGAGAGTTTGTACAGGTGGAACAGCGTGTGGAAGTGGAATTGTGTTGTCGACACTCCGTAGAACGGTCCTTCTCGCTTTTGTTACCGGAAGGACGGGGGAATGGGCAAGAAAGTCGGCTCGTTGGGTTATTGCTCGTTTTTGTTTTGTTTCATTTTAGAGAAAGAAGAGTAAGACGGAGATAGTCCAGGAAGGTCAACCTGAGAGAGAGAGAGAGGGGGGGGGGGCTAGACGGCGGCAATGGCGGAGGAGGAAGAAGAAGAAGAAGAGACGTAGAAGACTTAAGACAACCGAGGAGAGAGAGAGAGAGAGAGAGAGAGAGAGAGAGAGAGAGAGAGAGAGAGACAGACAGACAGACAGACAGAGAGACAGAGAGACAGAGAGAGTCAGAAACACAGAGAGAGAGAGAGAGAGAGAGAGAGAGAGAGAGAGAGAGAGAGGGAGAGAGAGGGAGAGATATGAGCATGAGGAGGAGGAGTGCAATTAGGAAGAAGAAGAAGGAGAGAGCGTAGATGCAGAGAGAGATAGATAGTACATACACACGTGCACGTATAAAACACACTACACTCTTTACTCCGATAATTATTTCATTACTACGAACCGGGTGGTCCCCATTTCAAGAGAACAAAACACAACAAAACACAACAAAACAACAAAAACAACAAAACGAAACAAAACAGAACAAAACAAGAAAAGAAAACAGAGAGGGCGTAGAAGAGGGGGAGGTAGGGAGACATTCTCGTCCTCCCCATCTTCACGGATCTCGAGATGTGACCTATGACATAGGCTTTTCCAACTTAATGTTTTAGCGGAGACCACGAACCGACTTCTTCAGAAGTGGCTATATTCCGGGATTAAGTAGCCACATAAAGTGGGCGGAGGCCCCGATGACGTCACGATGACCGAGGATATGTGGCGCCTTCCCAGAGGTCATCGTGTGACCCTGAAGAAATTCACCTAGATTCGGCCCTCGAGTAAAATTTTGTGGCTTTGTTTTGTTTTGCATTTTCATGTCATTTGCGTCGGTTTTTCTATTGACCTTATTTATAAGCCACAACAGCTAAGACCCGAGAAAAAGAGGGTAGATAGATAGATAGATAGATAGATAGATAGATAGATAGATAGATAGATAGATAGAAGTAAAACATTATGATCACCAGACAGGCGGATACAAAATTATCCAGAGGATCCTGTGTGTTTAAGTGTGTGTGAGTGTGTGAGTGTGTGTGTGTGTGTGTGTGAGAGAGAGAGAGAGAGAGAGAGAGAGAGAGAGAGAGAGAGAGAGTGAGTGAGTGTGTGTGTGTTTGTGTGTGTGTATGTGTGTGTGTATGTGTGTATGTGTGTGTGTAGTAAAAACTGCTCCAATGGTCATCTGTTCAAGATAATCACCTGAACAAACGACCACTTCAGATTTCCTTCTTGTGTGTTTTTAAAAAATTTTATAATGACAGTGAAAGTGATAGTCTTTATAAATCTCCAGGGGAGAAATTTGTTTTTGCCGTTTACAATTGCAGAGGATGTTACAAAGGTTAGGTGCACTCATGCATACACACAACAACACAAGACACTGTCTAAGAGCACCGCGGGTTTAAGACGACCATTTTTCTCCTCGAAAGTGCGGTGATCGTCCTGGAAATATTCGAGCGATGTCTCTAATCACAATCACATCGTCTGATCGCGACGACATTTGACCTGAGACGCAACAAGGTGAACGTATTGGAAAATCGTATGACCAAGCAGGACTTTCGACGCACGGACTAATTAGCTATGCACACCCTCTAATGCACTTGTCCTGACCACCCTCAGACAGTTCACCTTTCCTGTCTTGACCAGCGGTCAGTTTTGCCTGAGTGGACAAGCGGTCACTCACCAGACATAAAGACAGGGGTGTAAGTAAGAAAGACAAAGAAAATAGACCGAGTACGGTAGAAGTAACAATACGTGAAGTAAAATGTTTAGACAAAGGATGGGAAAATATCAGTCAATTTACCCAACTATCCTATGTTCCCCGCCTGTAAATCTATCCATTTGCAAGCTTAACTGCGAGGACCTAATTGTGATCCGTTCCTAGAAACGAGTCATCCGATTGTGAAGTCTGCCAGTATGAGTGTTTGTCTGTGCGCCCGTCCTTCCGCTTTTGCTTGTCTTTCCTAAATACTTCCCCACACCCCCACCCCACTTTTTTTCCTTTCTGCAAACCAGGAGGGTTTTTTTTTATGGTTTCGGGAAACTGAGCTTGCAGTGACACCCATAAAGAATAATCTCTGCATCCTAAGGGTCAAACTACAGGGTAACAGAAGTTCGTTGTAGTATTCCCATCATACTTCTATTTTTCGGACTCTCTCTCTCTCTCTCTCTCTCTCTCTCTCTCTCTCTCTCTCTCTCTCTCTCTCTCTCTCTCTCTATCAAGAGTCTGGAAACAAAATATCCCAGACACTCACCTGTGGAGGAAGTAGGTCGCTTAATAGCCTGGAGGAAATTTCCCTCCAGATCAAAATTATAGTCTTTGGAGCTTGACTGGCGTGAGGGATACATACAGTCTGCTGTCCCATCCAGAGGGGGG